CAACTAGAATGACAATCTGTCTTCCGTCTCTGAAACCAGAATGGACAGAAGACTAAACATAGGGCAGGTTCCTACCTCAATATCAAACTCAACTTCTCCTGGTTCACGAACTCGGTTGGGTCAGGCAAGGCTTCGCACGTGGCAACTTTCTGGGAAATTCTAGAAAACAATGGAATGTACTTACCATGAGCCAAACACCCAGGGGAAAAAGAAAATAAGACTATAATTTTCCTAAAGCAAAGATGACAGGCAACTAATTTAGGGAGCTTAAGAATTAACATATAAAAAGAATTTACATATAAATAGAGCAATCTCTAGAGCAAAGGACACATAGAGGCTGACAGAGCTGGTAAACTAGAATGTCAATAAGCTCAAGCCTAAGATCTTGAGTCTATTAAGGGGCTCAAAAACAAATTTGAAATGGGTAGGTCAGGAAAGAGAAAGAACAAGTACACACTTGGTCTTATTATCAGGGTCGCCTTCTCCTTTCCCAATCTCTCGTCAATCTGCAGTTCATCATCTGAATCCAAATCAAATTCATTCCCCATCACCTGTTCCGCCACCAGCCTAGCCTTATCTGCCTTCTTTGCAATCTTGGCTCGCCGAGACTTTGATAAGTTTTTCATCCTCTTGGTACTAGAAAGAGGAGAAAATAAAAAAACCAAAAAGTCATACTCAATATTGTTAAGATGGCAATTTTCCTTAACTGCTCTATAGATTCAAGGCAATCCCTACCCAAATCCAGCTAGTTTTTTTGGTAGAAATTAGTAAGTTGATACTAAAATATATATGGACACACAAAGGACTGGACATGCCCACAACAAATTTTGAAAAAGAACTAAGTTGAAGGACTTACATCATTCAATTTCACTGTTCACTACAAAACTAAAGTCATCAAGGTAGTGTAATATTGGCATAAGGGTGAAGAAATCTATCAATGAAACAGAAGTGAGAGTTTAGAACTAAACTCTTAACTTCATGGCCAACTGAATTCTGACAAAGGTGCCAAGGCAATTCAGTGGGGAAAAGAATGATCTTTTCAACAATTAGCACTGAGGTAATTGGATATCACATGCAAAAAAATGAATGTAGACTCTTCCCTCACATCATACACAAAAATTAACTCAAAATGGAGCAGACAAAATGTAAAAGTTAGAACTATAAAGCTTCTAGAAGAAAATACATACTTTTCTTGTGACATGGGATTAGGTAAAATTCAAAACTTTTGTCATTCAAAAGACACAATGCAGAAAATGTAAAGATAAGCCTCAGACTGGGAAGAAATATTTGCAAATCCTTTTTCTGGTAAAGGAATCATATCCAGAATTTTAAAAGAACCCTTTTGAATCAGTAATAAAGTAATTCAATTAAAAAATGGGCAAAAGAAAGCACAAATAAATAGGATCACAAATAAAAGAGGAGAAATCACAACACAGCAGAAATCAAAATAATCAGAAACTACTATGAACAGTTATATGCAAACAAGCTCAACAATCTAGAAGAGATGGACAAATTCCTACAACTTTACAATCACCCAAAGCTAGATAAAGAAGAAATAGAACACCTAAACAGATCAATTACAAGCAGTGTGAAATTGAAATAGTAATCAAAACCCTCCCCCCCAAAAAAAAATGAGCAAAAGATCTCATAGACATTTCCCTAAAGATGATAAACAAGTGGCCAATGATTATACAAAAAGATGTTCACTGTCATCAGGGAAGTATAAATCAAAACCACAAACCAATGAGATACCACTTTACAGATATCAGAATGGCTATAATGAAAAAAAACAAAACAGACAATAACAAGTGTGTTAGCCACTATCCAGAAAAAGTCATCATTGGTGGTGAAAATACAAAATGGTAGACACTTTGGAATAAAATTTGGCAACTTCTTAAAAAGTTGTACATACAGCTATTACATGAACCAAAATTTTACTAAGAAACTAAAACATGTACACATAAAAACTTGCATGCAAATGCTTATAACACCATTATTCATAATAACCAGAAAGTGGAATCAATCCAAATGAACATCAACTAGTGAATGGATAAATGTGGTATATCCATACAATGCAATACTGTTAAGCAACAAAAAATAAACAATTAATGATACATACTACTATATCATGGTTGAATCTCAAAAACATGCTAAAAGAAGCCAAATACAAAAGACCATATATTATATGATTCCATTTACAAGAAATGTCTAGAATTAGCAAATCTATATAGACAGAAGTAACTTAGTGGTCATCAGGGAAGAGAACAAAGATTGACTCTAAGTAGGTGTGAGGGATCTTTGTGGGGTGATGGAAGTGTTCCAAAATTGGATTGTGGTGATGGCTGCACATTCTTTAAATTTATTGACAGTTATTTAATTGTAAACGTGCAACAGGCAAATTGTATGGTATGTAAATTAAAATATATCTCAAAAATATTTAAAGAAAGTGGGAAAAAACTCAGAAGTGTAAATAATTCTGTCACACATGGTAAGCAATATTAACCAGTCCTAACTGCTTATAGTTAAAAAGAAACAAACTTTGGGTAAGTCAGTACACTTGATACATTCAGCAGTCATTTGGTGAAATGGCTTTGAGTGAATTGGATGTCTGTAAATTGACCTGTTTTCCCAAAGTGGGAGGATTAAAGGAGTTAAAGCAGAGGATGACAAGACTAGTGCCCAAAGGCAACCAATCTTATAATTAACTTTTCTGAGACTCAGTTTTCATATTAGTAAAATGAAGATAAACAATACTTATCCTTAGGGTTGTTGTAAGAACTAAATAAAATAATGTATGTAAGCAGCTAACATAAAGTCAGACACAGAGCAGGTGCTCAATAAATAAAAACATATATTTTTAAATATTTACATATAAAAATAAAAATAAAGCTATTTACACCCTGCTCTTTTACTAACTTCTAATTATGAAAAATGTGAAGCACACACAAAAACATAAGTATAATAAAATTTCATGTACCTATCACCCAGCTAATTTTCAGCATCTAACAACACACAGCTAATTTTGTTTCATTATACCTAAGTCCCCACAAAAGCTGAATTATTTTTGGAGAAAATTCCAGGCGTATCATATTGTCTGTAAATATTGTATCTTGCATCTCTAGGTTCTCTTAACAGTAGCATCTGTCAGCTGCAGGAGAAGACAGAAGGAGCACAAAATTGTTGGGGAAGGTTAAAATGTTTTATTGCATCCCCTACAGTCATTATAGACTGAACCTTTAGGACACAATTTTCTCTTCCCCAAAAGACCTATCATGGGTTCTAGACAAGGACAATGCTCAACAGCATTGCTCTAGACAATGCTCTAATCTTATTATTTAGTAATTATATTCTCAAATCCCAAGGATAGCTCAGTTGCTCTCAGAATCTGCCCTGCCCTCACACTCCCTTTACCCTTATTTCTCAGCCAGATGGACCTCCTATACTTGCCCTTGGATCTGAAGACAAGCCTTTTCTGCAAAAAAGCTAAGAAGGGATCCTTGTTGCTTATGCTCCTGTTGTTCATACTTGGCACTTGACTACTGCTATATATGGTGTTGACAATCCAAATGATAACGCTTACTATTCCTGTGCCTCTGCCTTCCTACATGTTTCAGGGTTGCTGATGACTGACATAGCTTCTGGCAATAGCCACATCATAATCAAATCATCAGCATCATTATCATCCTATTTCATCTTCAACTTCATCATTATGCTTATAGTAGCTACCATTTATCAAGTATTTACTATATGCCAGGAACTGTGACAAGCATTTTATATACATTTCATTTAGTCCTCCAACACCCACCCTAAAGTTAAGTTTTATCTACAAATCAGAAATTATAAGGACATTGAGGCTCTCAGATAGGTTAATTATCTTGCCAATATCACACGGCAAATAAGTGTGAGAGCTGGGATACAAACTTGGGATGATCTGATTCCCAAGCCCATGGTTTTCATTGTGAACAGCTTTTATTATATTCCTTTAGAAAATGCTGTTCAAATTATTTTAAGAAAATATATATATATATATATATAATAAAAGAAACCATAGTTAAAATAGCTAAAAAAGAAAATATACTCCTTACATGAAATTCAAACAGTATTGTAATGAAATATTTCTCTCCTGCCTCCTACTTTATACATATAAATATAGACACAAGTTTGGTGTAAGAAGTATAAAATACTTAACAAATATGTGTGTGAATGTGTACAAGCACCTGGAAAGAAGACATTGATGTTGGTATTCCATGGGAAGGGGAACTAGATAACAGGGAAGAGTGAGAGCAAAATGTTTCACTATGTATTCTTCTGAACACACTTTGTAAATTTTAAGCTGTATAAATAAAATTTTAAACTAAAAAAGCACAATTAAAAGGAAAAAGTTTGTTTACTTACACAAACATACACATATGCCTGTTTAAGAAATAAGAATGGAAGTATTCCTATGTATTACTACCTGGGCTTTTTCATTTATTAATATATCCTAGACTTCTTTCTGTGTCAATCTTTTTAATAGCTTCATTCTATAGATGCACTATAATTTATTTATTCAACCTTTATTGATGGATGTTTCCAATTAATTTTTATTAGAAGCAATGATGCTGTAAACACTGAATATTTCTCTTTACACACTTGTGTATTTCTGCAAAACAAATTCCTAAAAATCGAATCACAAAGGTATGTAAAAAACTCATGGTTTTAACAAGTACACTATACTATCGCTTGTTCCATGGGTTCTCGCCCACTGACTTGCTGATATTTCTAATCACACAAGATTTTTCTCAGGATTGCCAATTAGATTACAGGTCTCTCCCCCTCCTACCACCCCAACACTGCCATGGTTCTCTGAACTAAGGAATCAATGATATCTGATACTATCTGGGTATCTCCCCAAGTATATACCCTCCCCCACACATGTCCTAGCTCCTAGGTCCCAATTCCATGTCCTATCTTAGTGGTATGTTGCCACCAATAGTCCCAATATATCTGTGTTCCTTGTCCCCACCTCACCTGCCATTAGCCATCAATAGGGCCAGTGGGCCCTCATTTCCATCAAGGTCCAAGTCTGGCGAGTCATCATCTGAGTCATTCAGGCAGGTACCAGTGATGTTGAACTGCAGAAGGAGGAGGCTCAGTTGTCACCTCTCTGGGACTCCCATGTAAATCAGGATGGTCAGTTCCCTCCGGTTTCACAAGTTTGAGTTCACTGTCAAAACCACCTAAACAAAGGCCTTCTGCTACATTGTTCCCTGCCCCCACCCCAAATGATCACAGAAGGAAGCCTATTGATCTGATAAAACATATTCCCTGAAAGGAGGGGTGCATCTTCACATGCCAGTGGAAGGCACCACAATCTTGAAGCAAGGAGGAGCCCTGAAAAGGACTTTTCTCAAGGATGTGTTCAAGATTCCAAACTAACACTCATACACCATGTTTTCAAGAGTCATTCCCATGCCAGCATCTCAAGATATAACTGAAGTATCAAGTTTTCTGAGAAGGGGTCCTGATCATTGCTCCTACCCATATAGAATCATTTCTCATGTTTCTCAGGGTCTTCCCTACACCCTTAATCATAACATCTACAATAATTCATTGCACTCATTTGTTTTATGCCTATCTTTCTCACTAGCCTGTCAGTCTCTTGAGGGTTACATCCACAGTACCTATCACAGTGCCCAGCATAGACAAGGTCTCAATAAATGCCTATTAAATGAGTGGTACTGGTAGCCATATACCAGGGGCCCTAAGGGAGGTGGGAGCAAAACAAGATAGCCTGTCCTTTTGATAGCCTACTCCTCCTACTCCTCTACTCTTCCAAGGGACCCAAAAGGGTTGGGCTGAACTCATGGGCCAGCACCCACCTTTGCTTTCTGGGAAGAGCCTGTCTTCAGTGCCTGATGATTGTATGTATCCATGAGATTATAGCTCAATTGGCCAGCAGGCCCCAAGGCTGAGCTCTCCTTGCCCTTTTGCTCTGCCTTCTTGAAGAGTTCCTTGGACTTCAGGCCTTTCTTCTTTGAATCACTTTTGGAGGAAAGTGACAGCCTGGACATGGATACTGAAGTAGAATGGGCTGGTCTGCTTAAGGGAATGGAGCCAGCTGGGAAGATCCTCTGCAGCCCAAAGATATTGCTTGTCTTCCCAACGTTCTGTTGGAAGATATCCTATAAGAGTATTAGTACATGGGGGGGGGGGGTTAGAGCTTACTTAAGGGCACCCTCTATGCTAAGAGCATATTCATGGCACTGGCGATACTACCATGGAAGTAGTTTACAGATGGCTCCAAGTATGCACACCCTAGCTTTTTCACAATGAGTTATCAAGAATTTACTGGGTGGCATTTCTTTATCCAGCCACTGACAAGTAACAATATGAGCAGAGGAAAAGCCCAGGACTACCGTCAAAACTAGAGAAAAAAGACTCTAAGAGCAGTTGATATGCGACAGAAAAAAAAATTAGTACTAAATTGTGTGGTTCCAACTCTAAGGAGTGCAAGATTTTTAAGAGGAGGAAAAAGGTTCTAGTCTGAATTCTGCTACCAGCTAGCTCTGTGACCTTGGGAAAGTAATCTGATCACTCTGGGACTCTGTTTGCTCTACTGTAAAATTCAAGAATTGGATTGGAAAGGTGGTTTTCAAAAATGCGCTGTGGCTCATTCATGCTTCTTAGGCCCTGAAGACTGGAGTTAGGTTGAAGACAAATAAGGGAAACAAATGTAGCACTAAACTTCCCATCTTCATCAAAGTTGTGCTTTGACTGGCTGTATAAATTGAGCTTCCATGAAAGAGCTCCTTTGGGAAAATAATTCCACTGTATTAAAAAGTCAATGGACCAGATATGATCCATCTCTAAGTGTTCTTCCAATCAGCCCAAAGTTCTGTGTATGCAAAATGGCTTAAGTGTGAAGAGCCTTTTAATTAAATCCTGAAGGATTCTGACAGATGGCAGTAGGGGGAAATGAGGTGGGAGGTGGACATTGTAAACTATGACGTGGCTATGAAACAATACAAGCGGTGAGGCTGGAAGCCTAATTTTGCAGTAGCTCACTCTGACCAGCTTTTAGCATGGATTTAGTACCTATATTCTGGGCAATAAATGGAACTTTACAGCATTTGCGCTAAAGGAAAGTTTAAACTTCCTCAAGTCCAATTCTCTGGTGCCTCTGCTACCTCACCAGCCCACACTGAGTTCTTTCTTTGCTGCAAAATGTATTAATAACAATGGCTAACATTTATTGAGTACTTACTCTGCTAGGCACTGTGCGAGGGGCTCTATATTTATTAGCTCATAATTCAAATAAAACTCTGAAAAGATGGTGATATCACCACTTTATAGATACGGATACTGAGGCTCTAAAAGGCTTGCAAGTGACAGAGCAGGAACCAAAATCCATGTTTCTCTGATTCTCTTACCACTACATCTTACTGCCCGCCCCATGGTATATGTCACCTGTTGAAACATGGTTTTGTAATCACCTTCAAACTGGGGGAACTGTAATTTTGTAGAATGAAGAGACTGAGTCAAAATATTAGTAAGAACAACTACTACGATGACCTCTACCACCCACCACCATCACCATCACCATGACCTACCATCAGAATTTACTGAGGACTTATTGTGTGCCAAGCAATATACTTAGTGCTCAACCTGTATTACCTTATTTAAACCTTTTAATGACCTGAACAGGTATAATTATCCCCACTTTAGTTATGAGGAAGCTGAGCAGAAAGTTAACTTTGGCCAAGGCCCTCTAATTGACAATGAGTTCTTTATGGGCAGGCATTGTATTATTTATGTATCCTAAGCAATAATCTCAATGTGTGGCATACTCAAGGTGCATAATAATTATAGGGCCCTTGGTGGGGTCTCCCCAATCCTTCCCCTAAGCTCTCATGCTAATTGTAAAAGCCTGACCTGCCACTTGAGCCTCAAGCCCTTCCTAAAAACCTCCCCTACTCCCTTGCTTCTTACTTCCACCAAGCGGATCTCCCTAGCCAGATCTTTAATGAGCTGTACAGTCCGTACTGTCTCTGGGATCTCATCCTCATGGTCTGGCAGAGCCTGTTAAACAAAATACATGAGGAACAGATGTGCATATAAATAGACACAAAACCAGAATTTTTTTTTACAAATGTACCAAAGCAATTCAATGGAAAATGGGTATTATCTTTTTTAAAAATGGTACTAAACCAATTGGATATCCATATACAAAAAAAGGACCTCAATCCACATTTTGCACAAAATCTCAAAATATTGATAGATCATAGACATAAAAGTAAAATCTAAAACTATAAACTCTTTAGAAGAAAGCAGAGAAAATCTTTGTGACCTTGGGTTAAGCAAAGATTTCTTCGGACATAGAAGCATTAACCATAAAAGAAAAAAAACAATCAAATTGGATTTAATAATAATAAAAAATTTTCTCCTCAAAAAACAGTGTTAAGACAAGGCCTCCCCTGGTGGCACAATGGTTGAGCGCTGGGCTGTGAGGCTGCCAGCAGCCTCTGCAGCGCTGGTTCGTTCCCTCGTTCCCCAGCCTCTGGCGAGGGTCCCACAAAAAAACAAAACAACAACAACAAAAAAAAAAACAACAGAAAAACAGTGTTAAGACAAACCAAACTGAGAGAAAACATTTGCAGAATATAGATCTGATAAAGAACAGTGTCAAGGATGAGAATCTCAATTGTGGGCTTGGGTCACACACCTCAAAAATTCAAGACAAGCTGGCCTCTCCGCTTAAGAGGACAGAACTCAGTGTTGAGCAGCCCATAGTCAGCACAACTACCCAGGGGGAGAACTTTTGGTTGTCTTTTAATTTGTCTGCAATCTTGAGTACTAGGAGATTTACAGATTTATGTAGAAAGATCTCTCGAGCTTTTATGATTTCTTTAACCAGTTTTCACTTTATTTTTTCATTGAGAGGACAGATAAAAAGTACTCAGCATTTCCTTCTTTTTTATGGTTTGAGTCTTTTTTTTTAAAGATTTATTTATTTATGCACACAAGAGCTGGGGGGGTAGGCCAGAGGGGTGTGTGTGTGTGTGTGTGTGTGTGTGTGTGTGTGAGAGAGAGAGAGAGAGAGAGAGAGAGAGAGAGAGAGAGAGAGGATTCACCAGAGACAAAGTGATTGAGAACAGGCAAATTGACTGAAATATATTTCTGAGGAGAACAGTGGGCGAGACAGGAGAGGTCTGCTGCACCATGTGGGTTAGCTCCCTGACCGGGGATTGAACTCATGCTGCAGTGGCTGCGGATATCTTCACAGTGCTGAGACTTAACCCTTTGAGCCACCAGGGAGGCCCCACCTTTAATACTTTTAATCCATCTGGAACTGTTTTGGTGGCTGGCCAAGGGTGAGGATCAAGAACCCATATGATATAATTGTAAACCTTCATAGCTCTTCTCTACCAGCCCAGGGGCTCACAGAAAGGTAAAGGAGAGAGTGCATCCTGTGGAAGTCATCTATACTTTCCACAAGACTTCTTCCACGAGTGTGGGTTCCTTGGATCTGTGCCCTACTCTCCTCCAGCTCCCTTTGACTATGCGGTTTGGGGCCATCCTACCCCCAGGACACGGTGCTTAGGACTCAACATCCTCCCTCCCTTTTGGTTTTCCTGGGACATAGTCACTCTGAAAATCTCTTCATGGGGAAGGGAAGGGCCGGGGGGGAGGGTGGCATCAGATATGAAACCCAAGAGACGAAACACCTGAAGGGTGTAGAGAAACAGTTTCACAGGCGAAGAAAGCTAAGCCTGCAGTGGTTGAAAGGCCTCCTAGGCCACAGTATAAAGGAGAAGGTGTCTATAAAGAGTATCAGAAGCAAAAGAGTATATATTGCTATTTCTTCTATTTTTTTTGCATTTCTTAAGTGTTTTTTTTTAAATTCAACATTTTGATTAGGTAATCCATTCACATACTTCAAAAGTAAAAAGATACACTGAAAAGTCCCTGCCATCAATCTGATGATTAGCACTCTCCCCATTTCCCCACACATGCAGGTAACCACTTTTCTTAGTTTCTTCTGCCTACCTCCAGATTGTGCTTTAAGGTAAATACAAGAACAGATAAATGTCATTCTTGTTTCCTTCCCTTTTTTTCACACATAAGGTAACATACTACACACATAGTTATACACCTTTATTCTGGCAATCTTTCCAAATCAGTACACATAGTTTTCTTATTCTGTTTTGCAGATATTTAGTACTCAACTGGATAAATGGATATTGGTATATTTCTTTTTGTTTTTTAAAGATTTATCTATTTACACATACAAGAACTGGGGTGTAAGCCAGAGGTTCGGGAGCTGAGAGGATTCACCGGAGAGTGAGGAGCAGAACAGGCAGATCTACCAAAATACACTGCTGAGGGGAGCAGCAGGCGAGGCAGGAGAGGTCTGCTGCGCCATGTGGGTTGCTCCCTGGCTGGCCAGGGATCAAACTTGTGCTGCAGTGGCTGGTGATAGCTTGATAGCACTGTCTTTAACCCCTGTGCCACCAGGGAGGTATATTTATATTGGTATATTTCTAAAAAGCCATGTCTATAGTATGTATGAAGAGTCTTAAGTTTTTCATACACTTTAATCTTGTAATTTGCTCTTCCAGTAATCTATCCTGAAGGAATAATCAAGAGATGAGGGATAAAGACTGATGCACGTGGATATTCACTGCATGATTCTGTGTGACTTTCCCCCAAAATAAATAAAAAGGAAGCAAGAAGCAAGTGGTTAGGTAAGAGTGGTACATCCCTACAAAAGAACATCATGTAACTATTAAATGGTCATGGAGAACACTGGTAACACAGGAAAATTAAGATAAGCCAAACAATTCAGTTATAAAATTTTGTTTTGTAAATCAAATAAAAAGAAAACATGTCCATATGTTAATGTTAGTTTCCTCTGAGTGTTAAAATTACAGTTGCTTTTCCTCCTCTATACTCTTCTGTATTTTTCTAATTTTTTAGCATAAGTACTATTACTTTCTACAATTACTAAGAAAGGTTTAAAAATGCAATTCACAGTCCTCCACTATAACCCCAGGAGCCCATAAGAGCCCCCTTGTCTCTTCTTCTTCACCAAAGTATTTACCAAAAGTCAATTCCTATAAAGGGCAGAACTCTTGTAGAGAAATAAGTTTATTTACTTCTTTCCTTGTCCAGGCTCTAAAGGCCAAGTTCAGGGCTTTGCCGCCATGGACCAGGTAGGATGCAGGGTGTCTCCTGTTCTCTCGCAAACCTAAAGGGGGAAGAGGAAGGCAGACTGTCAACAGAGCCATTCAGAGAAGTGAAGGGCTTGTTACCTCTTTAAGATATTCAGAGAAAATGCTCAAGGTTCTGAGCACAACTCTAGATTTCAGTCCTTAAAACAGTGTTTGTTTAATGTGTACCTACTAGATGCAAGGCATTTGATATCACTAGCTCTTTTAATCCATGTAACTACTCTGTAAGCTAGGTATTATTATCTTTATTTTAGGTCAGGAAACTGAAGCTCAGAGAGGCAAAGACACTTGACCAAGCACACACCAAGTAAGTGTCAAAGCCGAAGCTGAAACCATGTCTATCTGAATCTGAGGTCTGTGCACCTTCCACCAAGCTGTTTCTTAGGCTTCAAAATGTGAACAGTCTGGAGGATCATGACTGTGAATAACCATCAATGCAAATGAAGGAGTAACTGTGTTCTGGGTTATAACAAATAGGCAGATTTAGGCTCAATATAGCATTGTCTGATGAACTGTGTTGTTCAGAACAGGTAATAAGCAATTAGTCATCCAGTTTTTGAACACTTAGGTGACAGTCCAAGTGGCAGAATAAGAACCTAAGGTATTACGTGGGAGACTTTACTCATTGACCTCTGAGGTTCTTTGTAACATTGAGATACTGATTCCACCTGGCCAAGTCACCTTGAAGAATCTAGGTCTGAATGAGGGAGCCACTCTGTTTCAGAGCAGAGCAGGAAAGAGGAAATTCAGCAGATTAAATTCCACTTGGGAAACAACACAATGATGCCAGGCTGAGATCAGGACTTCTCCCCGTAGGAAGCACAGCCAGGAAACTCCGAGATTATCCAGATTGAATTTCTTACCTTAACTGACAGGAAATAGGATTAATTTCACTGCGATACAATTTTCTCTTACCTTTGCTAAATAAAACGTAAAATCCAAGACCTACTTCACATTATGTTTGGTATAAAAGCCAGTCTCAAAAGATAACATACTGTGTGATTCTATTTTTAAAGCATTGTTGAAATGACGAAATTATAGAGATGAAAAAACAGATGGGACAGAGGGCAAAGAGTGCCATACCTCGAAAGATGTCCAGGATATGCTTTCCCACATACCAACAGATGGTCTCAAAGTTGGGAAACTTGAAGAGGTCGGCTGTACTCAGTCGCTTCTCAATTTCATAGGCTCTGGAGGAAGTAGGCACAATAATGAAATAAGAATCCCATTTACTGTGTACCTACTATGTATCAGATATTTCTGGATGCTTTTGTCTATGATTTGTAGTCACATTACCCTGAAAGACCCTAATTTATGTTTAGGAAACTTGGGTTCAAAGGTTATGTGACTTGCCGAAAGTCATATAACTACTAAGTATGCATGGGGTATTTATCTTCAGACTGAACATCAGTATTAATTCCTTCCCGATGATCCCCACCTCCTTTTATGCTGTGCTCCTCACTATAGGGGAGAACCCAAGACTCTAGCAGACAGGAATGGACAACTCAGGTTCACCGCGACATCAGGACTCACTTGAGTTGCATTTCAATATTAAGGCTGTGTAAGAAATTCCCTCCAAAGGCAAGGCAGTCCACAGGGGTCAGCACAGCATGGATCCATCCTGCAGTGTAACAAAGACAAAATCATAGCTGGCAGAGGGCCTTTCTTCCTTTGGAAATCTCCACTGCCTGCTCAGAGCAAATACAACTCCTTTGAGCAGCCAGTCTAGCAGAGACTCAGAACAGTAATAAGTTCCTCCACTATCCTCATAGCCATCCTGGCTGAGTGTGCTATCATTATAACCCTGACTAGATCTATATGGGGTTAAGAAACTCCTTCTACTTCCTTCCTCCCCACTTCTGTTGCCTCACCCATCCTCTCTCTTGTTTCTAAGAGTGGATTTACCCTTACCCTTGACAGGACTACCCCTTTTAACTCTAAACAAAGAGCTTTTGCATTGGGCAGACCTGGGTTCAAATTTTGCCATTTTTTAGCTAAATATCCACACCACCAGGTTGGTGGTGAAATATACACCTAGTTAGAAATCAATTATTCTCCTTGCCCTTGCCTTTCCTTTGGGAGCTATCTGATATCTTCTCTTGAATCTCTCTCATATTATCTTCCCTTTCCCATCCACCCAATTTACCAATGCCTTAGGAGTCAGACTCTTCATTACTTGTCACCTAAGCTACTTGCAACAACCTCTAAACTGGCTCCTCCACACCAGCAGTTTGGGCCAGTGAATCCTGGAGCTACCTGAGACTTTCAGAGCATATGTGAGAGCAAAACTACATTCATGATAGCACTAAGGTGTTGTCTTTTTAACCTTAATTCTCTTAAGGGTGTAGTGAAGTTTTCCAGAGGATACTTTCTGTGTTATCACAACATGTAGAAGCAGATTGAGGATCTAAGCATTTTCTATTAATCCGTACATTAAAATAGGTTTGCAAAAAAAAGTTAATGTCATTCTAACCACTAAACTTCTTTGGTTTGAAAATGGTTATATTTCATAAACCTTTTACTTAGGCTAACATATAATGTGCTTATTATTGGTTTTCTCAATAAATTAACATATTAACTTTTTTCAGTTTTAATTTATAATGTGGTAAATATTAATAAACATTAGACACATAAATGAAAGCTCTTCTGGGTATAATATAATATAATATAATGTAATATAATATAATACAATATTTAAGAGTATGAAAGGGGCCCTTAGTCCTAAATGTTTGCAAACCACTGTTCTGCACCAATATTGAGTACTCAAGTCTATCTACATCCCAAGCCTAAGCGATATATCTAAAATACAAATATGCCCATGTCATCCCCTGCTTCAAACTCTTCAATGTAATTTGCACCCCTCAGAAGAATGAATCAATTATCATATACAATGGAATACTAGAAAGCAAGCAAAATGACTGAACTACACATGTATCAACATGGATCTCACAATCATAATGTTCAAAGAAAAACACAAGAATACATCCAATATGATTACATTTATATAATGTTCATATGTAAAACAATACTATATATTGCTTAGTGAGGTATATCTATGTAGTAATTGGATAAAAACGTATGAGGGTGACTAACATCAGCTTCAGGACAATAGACAGCACTAAAAGGAAAAAATGGGAATGCAATGGAGAAGAGATATACAGAAACCTCCAAATAGATTTGTGATATATTTTTAGCTGAGTCATGAACATATTAATGTTCATTATATTATTCTTTTTATCTTTTGCTGCATCTGAAATTTTCATTAGAAGTGAAATTAACTAATAAACCTTCATTTGTCCTAGTCATCTCCAGGATAGGTTTAGTTTACCTTTAGTCTACCTTCATTTCCAGCTTCATCTGCTCTCCCCTCTTGACTTTTTTAGGCTCCATTTTTGTAAATTGCTCCACAGAGTCTTGTTTAGCTTATGCCTTTCCCTGTATCTAAGATGTATTTCTTGCCTTTCCTTCCCTGGTCAGCACCTACAAACTCTTCAGGCATCACTCCTCTGAGATTTTAACAAAGCTCTGGCTAGATTAATTGCTCTCTGCACTTCCAAAACTTGCAATGAATATCTATATTGTGGTTATTAGAACATTATACTTAAAAGGTGCATTAATCTTTTGTCCCTAGTACCTAGCCCAATGCTGGGACAGACAATATAAACTCAAAGTTTGTGGAGCTAAGTAGCTGATACACATTGTGGGAACTTCTATCAAGTTGCAAATTAATTCAATTCAAAACTCTGGTGTGCAGTTCAATCCAGCAGTTATTAAGTATATCAGTGTAGGAACATCATCCAGCAAGATCCAACAAAGGATTCAAAGATTGGTGAATAAATGCTTGGGAATAGAAAATTATAAAAGAGTAAAGGAGATGGGTATGGATGACTTGCCTCATCATTATACATTCTATAAAAGTAATGTAATAAAATGATATTGACAGATGAATAGACAGACCTGTGCAAAGAAATGATAATCTAGAACTATAGATACAATGCTTGAGGTGTTAAAATTACACAAGAACTTTAAAATACTATATTTGAAATAAATAATGTAATGGCTGGACTGAATAAAAGAATGGAGGCAATGGCAAAAAGAATCATAGAACTCAAAGAGAGCAATAGAAATTACCCAATATGAACAAAAGAGAAGCGATAGATTGAGAAAAGATAAATTCCTGGACTTGTGGGACTGCAACAAAATATATAACTCATATAAAGCAGAAACCCAGGAGAAGAGAGGTTAAGTTAGATTCTGAGGCTGAAAAAGAGTTTATATAAGGAATAGCTAAAAATTTTACTAGTATGGTAAAAGAAATAAACCTTCATATTTAAGAAAGTCAGTGAGGGGGAGGGGCGGAGCAACATGGCGGCGAGGAGACGCTGCGAGTAAGATCTCCCATTAAAAAAGTTAATAGGGAGGAAAAGCAGCAGGTCCCAGTGAGAACTGGGACAGGGAAGATAAACGGACGACTCCAGCAAACTACCTGAAGAAGAAAGTTGCCATAAAAGAGGACCAGAAGGGAGGAAAGCGCAGAACCCTGCTCCCCTCCCCCGCCCACAGAGTCAGCACTCTCCCACCAGCAGAGAGGAGGAAAAAAACAAACTAAAACGACCAACAAGAACAAACTACGCAGCAAGTGGGACTGTGAGTGGAAAGGAACTATTGCAACCACCACACCCCGTGAACGGGAGCTGTGGAGAACCCTGCAGGATTTGCCTCGGCTGTGAGCGAACGGCTCCGGGTGCCATTAGAGAAGAACAAAGAGACTCTGGAGACCGCGCACACAGCCCCGGGCCGGCCAGTAAGCTTGCGAGGAAAAGCAGTGCGCTTTGCACACTTGAAAAGCAAATGCGGATCGGGATCGTGGCTGCCCAGGTCCCCGCACCTGCGACCTAGGCTTGCGGGGAGACGCACGGAGGCCCTCACTGGGGTGAAAGTCCCTCACTGAGTAAGCAGGAACCAGGCACCCAGGCACGGGAGTGGAGTGCAAAAGGAGCCATTCCTGCGCCACTGAACTGGGCTACAGCCCGCATCCTGGACCTGAGGGCTTTGGAACTGAGACCCAGGGCACGAAATTCGGGGCGTGGGTTCTCCAAGATGGTGGGGCACAAGGCAGACACAGCACCCCAGAGCTGTTGAGGTTTAGCCTACCATACCCGCTCTGTTCCCTGTCCCACGGGGTGGGGGGAGGCGAAAAACAGCCCCCCCCAAGGACAATAGGAGAGATCTCTGGCGCCACCTAGCGACCAGAAAAAAAAAGTCACTAACACCCAATAGAACAGGGAAATTTCTTAAGACTGCTTGAAAAGGGCAGAAGGTCCCGGAGGAGACAGTGGCCAGCTGGGAAGTTAGCCCACGCCAGGCCCCTTCCAACCAGCAGTCTGAGCCCACAGAGGGAACAGGCACCCACGGCGGGGGCAGACCGGGCGCGCAGAAGAGTGTGCCTGAGACCGGAAGCGTGGGGACTGAGTCCCGCATCGCCATTTTAGAACAGGGACATTTCTTCAGTAAAGACTTCCTGAAACCAGCAGAAAGCTCCCTCAGATGCCAGAGATGGCTCCTGGAGGAGCCAGAGGGGAGCGGAGAAGTTCACCAAGATGCCGGCCAGTCCGAGCAACACAGTGTCCCAATGCATACGACAAATTAGAAAACAGACAGTAGGGAGTAGAAGAACCACATGCAACCTAACAACTCCTCAGGAAAAAAGCACACCACAAAAAGAAAACCACCCTCCAGATTACAACGACAGTAACTTGGAAGAACTTCTGAGACTTCCAGAAAGAGAATTTAAAATTGTGGTGATTAAAAAACTGACAGAAGTCATAAAGGAAAACAATGATATGAGAAAAATAATCAACGATCAGAAGAATGAAATTGAGTCTATAAAGAGGGAAGCAAAAGAAACACAGGAGATCAAAGAATTAATGGAGGAACTAAAGAACTCTGGGAAAAGCAATGAAAGCAGAATAGATGAAATGGAAGAACGAATAAGTACTATTGAAGACACAGAAATAAAAAGAAGCAAAACAGAAAAGGAAACAGAAGTACGAAGGAAAAAGATCAAAGAAAGAATTCGGGAACTATCTGACTCCATGAGGAAAGGAAATATAAGAGTTATAGGAATTCCAGAAGGAGAGGAGAGAGATGTAGGAACAGAGAAAATATTCCAGGAGATAATTGAAGAGAACTTCCCAAATGTGAAGAAGGAGCTGAAAATTGATATACAGGAAGCAAGAAGAACACCAAACTTACACGACGAAAGGAAAAATACAGCAAGACACATAATAATAAAGCTCCCAAGAATCCAAGACAAGGAAAAAATAATGAAGCTGGCAAGAGGGAAGAAACAGATAACATTCAAAGGAAAACCAATCAGGCTGACATTGGACTTCTCCGAAGAAACACTACGGGCAAGGACAGAGTGGAGGGACATAGTCAACAGACTCCAAGAAAACAGATGCCAACCAAGAATACTCTATCCCGCAAAGCTCTCCTTCCTCTATGAAGAAAGAATAAGGACCTTCCCAGACAAACAGAAACTCTGGAATTTCATTAAGACTAAACCCCCACTCCAAAAAATAATACAAGGAATCCTAAAGCCAAAACCTCAGAGGGACG